GACGGTCTTCGACGACGTCGACGACAATACCAACGACTTAGCGACAACACCAATTCTGCTCGTCAGAGATAGGAAATATCAGTGATAGGACACATGCTTTACATCACGTAAACTATTCACAATGATTTCACAAAACATCTATACCTCCGTGTTCACTTATCGTAGAATCATACGCGGACCGACGACGAGGCGGGAGCGAAGTGGGGGGCAGCACTTTTCTTAGGGCTTCGAGGGGCACCCCTACGGGGTTTCATATCTTTCCGACACGGTTTGCCGCAGTGGAAACTCCTGACAGTAGCGTGCGGAGGGGGGAAGGGGTGAAGGGGTGAAGGGGTGAAGGGGTGAAGGGGTGAAGGGGTGAAGGGGTGAAGGGGTGAAGGGGTGAAGGGGAAAGGACGAAAGGACAGCCATCTCGGAACCTAAGATCCTCCAAAGATACGATCTAGCCACCCCATGCGTACGCGCCTGACTCCTGATTTTCTGAAACCGCGGTCCAGTTTATGCATCGCTCCCTTTTCCATTACAGGCTTGCTGGCGGCAAATAACCGTTGAGAGGGTGGCCTGCACCCTGGTGTCCCTCTTCGTGGGGGTCGTCATCGGCATGATCGTCTTGCATCGGTGGTGTACGTGAAAATACTTGACATCAAAACAATGTATATATATGTATACATGACCAGCCGCCATGCCCGCTCCGCATCGCGTGGACATTAGGCATTGCGCTCGCGCTTCTGCGAGCGGAGGAAGTCACAACTCTTGAAGTCGGTGTATTTGGCTGACGTCAGTGGCGTATATACAGGGGGGCCCAGAGAGCCATGTCCCCCCCCCCCCAAATTTTTGCTCGCAATGCTGAGGTTTAGGCTCTGAGACGGCGCATCATCATTTTCGAGCGTTGGCCCCCTCCAAAATTCGTGTAGCCCCCCCTCAAAAAACGTATATACGCCACTGGCTGACGTTGCTACAATATGTATAGAATAGATGCAGCCACTGAACACCATCGTGTTTCTTTCCAGCAAGCGGAGGGAAGGCGGAGACGGAGCCGCCCGGCTCAGGGTAGAACTCACGCGCAGGGCCTCAGAATGCATCTGGACTCATCCATACGTAGGCTCAGGTCAGTCCGATGACGAATCAGGCCTCAGTAGATTCATCGAGCCCAATGAGCTCTACAAGATACCGATGTGTGGCTTCGCTCCTCTTCCACTTCAATGAGGAATATACGGAATATGATCTGTCTAGATCCTCACGGACCAGGGATTCAAGAGTGGAGACGATTCTAAGACTTGAGGCGACATTCATTCAGACACGCTGAGAAACACACGAAGCGAGATCTTCAATTCGCAAATGACCGACATAATGTTTGGAATAGTTGCTCCTTCAATTGGTAATCGAGGATGAAAGGATGACTCTGATTGGAGTTTTTCAGCTGCGACAGGAGTCTGGTGCAAACCTGCAACAGGAACAGCGATTATACCCCCTCGGAGAAAACTGATACTCAATCCTATGCTCACGAAAGCCGGGAATATTCCTTGCCTCGGAGCTCTTTCCGAGGAACTGAGAAACGACAACTTGATTGATGACCGTCTCGAGATGATTCGGATCCTTCTCCAATGATTCAGCCAGGACAGAGTCAGCTTCTTCGAATTTTCCTGTGGAGTCGATTTGTTCGTGATTCTCCGAGACTCTGTCAATTCATCGGATTCGGAAGGCAACCGTCATCAAAGCCGGTGTGGGTCTTTCCTCTCACCTTGAGCGATTAGAACACTAGCGAGACCAACGGACAAAAGTGGAGTTTTGGTATTCTTCTCTGCCATTTCCGTGAATATGTAAAATGCCTCCTCGAGATTATCGCCGCCTAGAGCTAAATACAGCAAGCCCGAGCACAACTGGGTCAGTGATGCATCTTCGTCCTTCGCCACCATTCTGTAGTAGAGATAAAATTGGATCAGGATGTACGAAGTGAGCTCTCATTCTCTCCGCGAAGCTCAGCGATGACAGCCACGGAAACAAGTATTTTCAGCATAAAAGCGAAAGATTCTAGAGACTCTCACCGCTTCATTTCATTTGTGGCTAAATCCAGTCGATCAGAGTGAACGTAGCATTGGAGCGAAAGCGCCATCGCCTCCAAGATGTCACAGTTATACAAGACCTGTGTAGTGGATATTCAGTCACTCTCGAGGAAAATCCAGCTGATCATCTACCAAAAGCCTCGAAAACCACACTTTTGAACAAATGGAATAAGCAACCGTGAATTTCGGCATTCGGGAAAGCCGCGATGAAAGCGTTGAAGACAGCCATCTCGAAATCCATGGCGATCGAAGCTGGGTTCAGCGACGGGAAGGCTCCCATGACGAGATCGATCATGCGGCGGTACGAGTTTTCCGATTAGTTTGGAAGGAGGGCGTAGCAGAGCGGAATTGCATACCCTCCACGGTCAGCCAAAATGACGAAAACCTGCGCGAATTGATCCGGGGCTAAACTAACAGTCCCGTCAACGTAGAGTCTCTGCACATAGCCAACCCAGCTAGACGCTGTTCCTCGGCCGAAAACCAGATGCGGTCCTCGTCCCGGTGCCCGAATCGTCGAGGAGAAATCGTTCTGAGCTCCCTGACTCGCATTCGTACGTAGTGTAGGCCTCGGGCAAGACTATCGAGGCTCGGTCATTGGGGACACGCCGGCGCTTGAGAATCTTGGCCTCGCAGCCTTTCGATTCTCCTCTTTATAGATTCGTGTTTCGGGAGGCATCCCTGACCTGCGACTGTCAAACCCGCCGTGAAACTATTGAGCAGCTGGGCGGGAGCTTCTTGCGTTGTGAGTGCACGACGCCTGAGTCCGGAGTTACTCGCAACCACCTCTACAAAGGCTGCATCAGCTGCATCACTGTGCTCCCCGATCGCTTTGACAATTTCGTCGGTTCCTGCAGCGGTGTGCAACCGAGCTTTGCACTTATCCTTGAACTCGCAGCGCCAGAATTGCACAGTGCCCGACGAGTTCTTCCTATCCTGAGTATACATGTGTCCCAGGTAGGCGAGCTTACGCTTCCCGCGTCCTGTTTCGATGATCCTCGGGGTCTCGAAGTTCGACTGAGAGTCCATCGCTAATTGTGAACGGGGAAGACCTCAGATCTCGAGAGATAAGGGTAGAAGGTAGACCAAGTCGGGAAGAGAAGACTCGAGTTGCCGTTGTTCGGATTCGACTCATGTTTATTTCTGCGAGGTTTGCAGCGAAAAGTAAACCGTGAAATTCGACTTCAATCTGACGATTCCGTCGCTAAACCATCGTTAATTTTTCTCAACCGTGATATGTTTCCTCTTCGATCGCTAAGCGACCGGATCCTTTCTATCCAGCGCTCCGGATCTACCTTTGCGCCGAATCATCTTTCGCGCCGAATCATCCTTTGCGTCGAATCGTCTCGCGCCGAGGGGGGCGATGGCTCTCTGGGCCCCCCTGTATATACGCCACTGACGTCAGCCAAATACACCGACTTCAAGAGTTGTGACTTCCTCCGCTCGCAGAAGCGCGAACGCACTGCCTAATGTCCACGCGATGCGGAGCGGTCACGGCGGCTGGTCATATATACATATATATACATTGTTTTGATGTCAAGTATTTTTACGTACACAAGCGATGCATGAGGACCATGCCGATGACG